GAATGCCTGAGGTGGAGAGCGGGCGACCAGCTATGAGGACTGTAAAGCTGGCTCTTGCTGAACCTTCTGGCTGGCAACCCTCAATGAGAAGATTGAAGAAGCCAGTGCAAAATCTTCGAATGAGCTGTGGTTGCAGCCAATCAGCTGCAAGCACCGATCGTGTATTCTGACAGTGGCTGGCAAGCGGCCACTGTCAGAATACAATGAAAACCGTGGTGGGGATTCATCCGTCAACGCTCCTAAGCATTGATGGAGGAATCTGTTCTATTGAAGATAGAACAGGGTGTGGCCAGCTTAGGTTTCAGCGCTGGAAGTTTGGTGCTCACAGTGGTGTATGGGATTCATGACGCTGAGAGATTTACTGAATGCAGCCCCGGTCAAAATCTGTCTCCCTCCCCGTTTTCAGGTTTAATGTGCGGCATGTTTTATGATTGTCGTGGTTCTGTAGAAGAAGAATCCATTGAGTGTGAACAATACGAGTTACCTGTGTGCACAGAAGATTTGTACTCCTTGCATTCTGTCCATAGACCTCGTATTGGTGAGGGGGCAGCACACGCTGTTATTGTGAGCTGTACTAGAATAGAAGTCGGCTGTGTAGAGAATTCTGCCCCCAGGACCAGATGTTGTCCTTTTGTTATCTTCAGTTCTGATAAACTCCTGTGTGATAATCTGAACCTTTCTAGGACTAAAGCTGGCTATACACTCTGACAACTTCCTCTGCTTCTTGATGAACCGGCTGAAATGCGCACAGTGGGTTCTGCTGTCAGGGCCCTTCAGGCCGGCATCCCACGATCACAAGATCCAAGGAGCCGGATAGAAAATCTTCAGCAGAACAGAGCTTGCAGCCAATCAGCTCCGACAGTGGCCGGTGGCGGTGAGAGCTGAGCCCATCTGAAACGAGGCAAATTACCTTGCTTTGTGTTGGACAAAATGGCCAACGTATCTAGTGTGTATCCAGCCCAAGAGGGAATTTTCCCTCACTTTGGAGAAATGTCTTGTCCTGTCCCAATGAAAAAAAAAAAATCCTTGTGGGGTTTTAACTATTCCTCTTCCCAATCCAAAGGCGTTGTTCATCATTGTTGCTGCAATAAACTTTATCCCATACAGTCTCCTTTATATGCTGCCGGTGTTTTTAACCCAATCTGTTCAGGATTTCATATTACTGTTATAGCATCACCATTGTAATAGGAACACAAACTAGAGTTGTTTCTGATCATACAATTAAAGGAGAACTATGAGGTGAGTGCTTTTCACTCAGCCTCATAATCTGACCCGACCTGTGACAATGAGACTGGGAAGTGAGCGAACACATACCAGCGCTCGCTCACTTCTCGATCTATCCCTGCAGAGAGCCATGACTGTCACTCACGGCTCCCTGTCCGATCCTCCAGCTCTGACTGGCGAAACGGACGGGGGAGGGGGGGGGTACAGCTGGCTCTGCCTCTAGATAGGCAGAGCCAGCTGTCAGTCACGCAGCTGGGCGGATCCCGACATAATTGTCGGGATCCGCTTCAGCTGCGGCCTCTCAGTATACCGCGAGCTGCAGCTCCAGGTATACTGAGCCTAGGGTGACGGGAGGACGCTAGTTTGTGTCCTCCCGTTACCGTAAGGAAAACTATGGGGAAAAGCCCTATCCCCATAGTTCTCCTTTTATCTCTCAAGACTACATATCCCATCATGCATTGCTTCCAGTAAGCAATGATAATGTTACATTGTTCAGACATTGATTTGTAGTTCACAAGGCAGGCTCTGAGAGAGTGATGACAAAGGAAGTGCATATTCACAGGGCTGGGTGAAATTGTGTCTGTACATTGAGGAAGTCATCTACTGGGCATCTTCAAGTAAGATTACAATCTTCTAATATGCATATAGATATACAGTATGTATAGTTTTTTATGAAGCATAGACATATGTAAATTCGGCATTAGAGGAAGCTTTACCTAGCACGCTGCAATTATTCTGGCTCTTTCTTCACAACAGTTCAGGTAAGAGGTCGGCCGCACAGGGAGTGAATTGTTTTCGGCCAACTCTTAGATTTGCTTTGTGAGAAGGAATAGTATAGCACAGCCACCGTGTAGCTCCAAAAATGATTGAACAGAGACCGTATATACTGAACAATTATGACAGCCCCTTATACATATATAATTATAGATTTTTGTTTTAAGTTTATATAAAGTTTACACCAAAATGATCTTTTTACATGTAATGTGAGAAAAATGTATCCTATATGTTCCCTTTAAATGTTATAAATATATTTACATTTTGTTGATTTTTAATATGCATTATGTGTGTATATGTGTGTGTATGTATGTATGTATGTATGTAATATATATATATATA